ATTTTCTAAATCAGATACTGGCTGATACGACAGTTTGGGCGCACATAAACAATTTGCTCCACTGTGTCCAAACTTTTAAATGAAATTACACAGAAGATCCATAATTCGCAGGGCCTTTGGCTTCATGATGGAAAATAAAAATTCCATCATTCATAAAACTGCTGTGATGATAAAATGGTGCCCCAGATGAGTTTTAATACAGTTTATGAAATCCTCTGCAGGCTGAGTCTTCAGATGCTAACGCAAGAAACAACAACCAAGGTCCAGTTTGGGATGACGACAGGGTCACTGAAGAAAAGGTCACATTGATCCATAACATGTCCCACAACATCAGGCTGTGGTTAACACACTTCCACACCACCATAAAAGACAGCCCTTCTTATTTTCCTGCAGTCCTCTCTTACTGCTTCACTTGGCATCCTCTAGCAGCCTGCTACAGCTGTAAATAACTTATGAAGAGCTTATGAAAAACACTGTAAACAGCAAAGTCAAGTGTTTTTGTTCCCTGTGCGAGAGGGAAATGAACAATAAATCTTGAATATCACCACTGCACCAATTGCTGATTAAAAGCCCAAATCTCATCCCCATATTCTTTACGGTCGGTAAAATAAGAAATAAGAGCACTGATGGATCTAATATAAAAATTCAAAGTAGTCTCTGGACAACAGTTTGTGTGGCACTGCTTATATCAGTGACTGTCAAAGTACAGACTACAACGACAGAAAGTAACACACAATATCAGTCTGAATCTTTTACGAACAATATTTACATTTAATTATACAACTCATTAAAAGGTTCATTATAAAGCATGGCATTTATGTTTTACAACGGACTTCAGTACAAGGCTTTCATTGGTGGATTGATACACATACTATAACACCAACATCAAAAAAGTGACAACTTTTCAACAATATCAAACACAGAGAAAGATCGATTAAAATCAGGACCACAACAATAAGATGTCAGATGAAACCTGTAAATCTCATCAAAATGAACTTTACACAGATTTATACAGCTTTTTCTTTTTTGAACATAATCTTCTGTGGATTGAGGATGTGTGGAGTTCAAACTTTGAAACGTGTGGGCATAATTGGGACTCCATTAAAAACAATGTTTCACTTGGATGGCTGTAGCTCTGCAGAAAGCAGCAGCTCATTATTTGGTAAGATGAAAATCAGAAGTCTGACTGTTTGGCAACATATTAACGAGGTTATTGTCAATAGCTAATATGGATCAGTTCATTTGATGCATTTCAAATATGAAGGCTAATAGAATACTTTATTTGTGCTCTTACAATGCAACCTCTGCCTCTGATGCCTGATAAGACAGGTCATGTGCTAATTCAAGATACAACAGATGTCGGACTACAAATCCGAGTGATTTTTTTGTTGTTGACATAATTGAGTCTTTATATATGAGCACTGATTAGTGCAATACTGAGCACTGATTATTGCAATAGGTGGCCCCAAAAGGCAAAACAGAGCGGTGTGTCTGGGGGCTTTGATGACATTTCAGGTTGCAAAAACTCTGTATATGTGTTGGCATTTGGAATCAGCTGACAAGTCATTCGTCACACTCTCCAAACATGTTTTGACGGTCTGACGCGCTCTCTTCTGAAGGCACGGGCTGCAATTTTTTTCAGCAAGGCTAGATCTCTAAACTTTCTTAGACGTAAATCACAATCATGTATGTCTCCTGCATGCTCTTTAATAGGCTCAGAATAATCCGCTGCTTTTGGTGACAGATGTGATATTTCATGGCACTAATACGAATACGAGACGATTTAATGAAAGTCAAAATACATTTCAAAATGTACATTGTCATATTCTTGATTGTAAACTCTTTCATTTAAGATGAAAGATTTACGATTTTAGATTAAAGAAGAATAATAAGGATGGGAAGGCATAAATCTTTTGGTTATTAAAATGCATTTGGTCAATGCATTAGTAAATTCAATTTTTAAATTCTTCTAAATAATATATTTTTTTTAAATAATTTAGTTTATTGAATTAATTTTTAATATGTCATGCATTTAGTTAAAATAATGTTTGTTAACATTTTCTGAGAAAGCACGTCCTTCATCATTTGTGCATACGCATGCTTTAAGGAAGTTCTACCACAGTAAGAATAAATTCAAGTAATAACATGAATCTCAGATTTGTGCGGCAAACGTTCGTACGAACGGTTTAATAACAGATTTGTGCGTACGCACTGTTTGTGAATGAGGCCCAATGAGCGTTGACAAGAATAAGCATTGTGCAAACAGCAGTGAGACACAGGAGCTGGAGCATTGTCCCAAGTGAAATATGAACTTTTAAGGGAGTCCCTGCGTTCACTTAAGTTTCAAGCTTCTCAAAAAAAGCAGGTGCATTTTTTTTAAACTCTTCTTAGTTTTTACATTGACCAAATGAAAGAGTCTTATTTCATTGTTTAGTCTCTAGTGAGTCTTTATGAAGTGAAACATCAGAGTGCTACTTTAAAGTTATATTCACTTGATTTTTACACATGAAACATTTAGAACACAGGGTCACAAAATAATGTTGAAACACGTGTCCTCTTTTTGGGCACTTTATACTATGTGTTAGTGGTCCAAAATAAATTCTTATTATAAAAGGCTTTGCACAAAGCACAGAGAAGAACAATATGTGACAGTGTAGAGCATTTCTGCTAGAACAAATAGTGATTTATCAACATGGACACACATTATATCACATTTAGTGCTCCAGTGCCATTGTAAACATACTTAATAACCGTGAGGACAAAACGTAACACACACATCATTTTCCTGTACATTGACTTAACACCCATTATGCAAATGTTGAACCGGGTACATGACTTGATGTGGATGCAGGAACATCACCTGTCCTTCACACGGTCTATTATGCCTATTATGTAAAAATGTCATAATGTTCATGTGTTAATCCGTATTTAGGAGCTTTCAAGCTGTTTGGGTGACAACATATTAATTTCTTTTGCTTTTAAATTAAGAAACAATAACACCTATCATCACACTCTGTATCACACTATATATTACAAACAAAAGCAGGAGAACACCACTAACAGTTATGTAACTATTAAAAGGTAATACATTTATGAGAACAAATGTTGGGAAATTAAAAAAACACAACCTTTGAGCAGTTTTGCACACAAACAGGACAAAATCTACATCACAACTTATCAACATAAAAAAAACACATCAAACAATGCATACCAAATTATTCTCAAAATCCAGACTTCTTGTTAATAAAATAGAAATCACTGAGCATTTTCTAGTTTTGTTACATCAGTTGAACAAAAAGAAAAGAAAATCAGCAGCCTATTAGATTTTTACAAACTCAAATCCCCTTATTTGTTTCAACATGATCTCAAACTGGATCTTAAACAGTTCAATATTACCATTAATATTACCCATTAATAAAGCCATTGGGTTACATCTGAAAGGGTTGCTTGTTAGATGGATTTTGGACTTAAGGTATCACACTGTGTGAGGCTCAAATTTGCCATCGAACAGCCCAGAGCTATATGGACAAAAAAATCACAAGAGCCCTCATGAAACAGGCCCAACTGTTTTCCAATGACAGACCTCACAATGTGCTCTTCTGTGTTGTCACTCACTGGCATGGCACTGGATGAAGCCTCTTGTTGATAAAGGTTGATGTGTCCAAAAGAAAAGAAGCACCACTGAGTCACTCCTCAGCTTCCTTTCTCATCGGTGTGTTTTCAAAAGTCACTACTGATACTCCCTGCAGTCCAGACTCAAAGACTCCAGCCAGCTCACCTTCATCTGGGTGCTAGATCTGTTTCTTTTACCTTATTTAGTCTATGAAAAATGTTGTTTTCTGTTTGTTTATATCTTCATCTTTGTACAAAAAGACAGTACATAAACTCTGTCAGCGGTAGAGGCTGAAGAAGACATTAAAAAATATGTAGCAAAAAATGTAACATACAGCAAAATCAAATTGAGGGAACACGACGAATCATTAAAACAAGATAAGAAAATAAAATAACAGATTTGACAGGGATGATGATCAAATATATCATGTAGCTAAACATTCTGATCGTGCAAGCCAGTTTTGGTTGCTATAAAGGACGGGCACGTCTTTGAATAAGTGTTTTTATAACTGAAAGAGAAGTGATAAAGACAGACGACAGAAGGGAGTCACAGCACATAAAAAAAAATAAAAGAACGCTAAACAGTTCTGAACAAATGTTGGCAGCAGTGTAATTGGCACCTCTGGACTCAGACATTTGCAATGTGGGTGTAATTAAGCCAACCTGCAGTCAGCTGGTTTAGGTCTGCAAGCCACACAATCATATCTGGATCATCTGCTCAGACTATTTTCCTTACAAACATCTGTCCACACATCCACTTTTTTTATCAAGTGGGTAGTTTAAGATGAGGTTTTAACATTTACTCTTCATTTGTGGAAAGTTTGGATAGTTTTATTTATATGTTTGTTTATTTAAACCAGAGACAGTGCACATTAATGAACATAAGCATGTACAATAATTTCAATGAATGCACATTCAGAGGATTTTTTTTCTCTGTATTTTTATGGATACTTGTTGTTATATTTATCTTTATCACTGGACAGTTAGGCTCTTTTTTAAAGTGTCTTTGACATCGTTTTTATATATTCAGCTTGTGCCAATATTGATTTTACCTCTGATTAGCGTGGTTAACCCTCCCTCATTTTCAGGGGCTCATGTGGGAAAATAAACAGTTAATGAAAATAAGAACAGCAGGAAAACTGCAATCATTTTCTTCCGCAGTGGCTGCTAACAATAGCAGTTAAAACAACATAATTGGAACAGCAAAAGTAAAGGGAAAGCTTTTGGTACACAAACACATACAATAATAATTATAATGACAACAATGGTCCATGATTACCGTGGAATAGTAAGTAATTAACATTATCATATTGAGTGTTTACTTGCATGCACGTGCAGGTCTCCTGCCGGGGTGGAATTGTGAAATTCAGGCTGGCACGGGTCAGCTTTCACCTGCAACAATTGTTGGTTGTTCTTTTGAAAATCCTGTGACATTTCCAGTAATTGCTTTCAGTCTTGTTTGATTTTGCTGCTCAAGCTTCATACCCAGTCTTTGTCATATTCTGTCTTATTTGCTAGAAAAATGACCTCTCAGGAAACACATTTTGACAAGCTTCTTCCTTTGTTTTATCAAGGAACCAAAAAAGTACATGTGCATATACAAAAAAGCATGACATCTCTACTGATCAGATGACAGTGCAGCGGATGTTGGTGTCGTTGGTTGTACTAGAGCCGTCTGCTTTGACCACGGTGACCTTGGACGACTGCTGTGAGCTGTGCAGCATGTTTCTGTGGCAGAGACGCTCGCGGTAATTCTGCGCAAAGATAAGTAGCATGAGCGGGTTGATGCAGCTGTGTGAGTAGCTGAGGCAGATGCTGATGTTGTAGGCATAGACGAAGGCGATGGTTGGGGTGTTGTTGGTCAGGTTGATTACCTGGATGACGTGGTAGGGCGACCAACAGATCAGGAACAAGGCGATGACCATGAGGACCATCTTTGTGGCCCTTTTGGCCCAAACAGACTGCTTACGTTTGACACGGCGGATGGAACTAAAGACATGGTATAGTGTGAGCGTGTAGAAAGTGCTGATGATGATGAGGGGGATGATGAAGCCCAGGATGGATTGGTAGAGAGTGTACCAGTACATGTCCTCGGGCCCATCCAGGAACATCATGCACACCTCCAGATTCTGTCGTCGCACAACCTTGGCGTACATCATGACGGGGACGGTGAGGAGGAAGCTGCCCAGCCACACCAGCAGGTTGATGATGATGGTCCACTGGATGGTCCTCCGCTCTGAGGTGGGGTGGACGATAGCGATGTACCTGGGAGGAAGAAGTTATGTTTTGTTAAACACAAATAATGAAAGCATCTTCGCTGACGAGCATGTATAGTACATGAATGCCGGTTTATTATTAAAGGATTATTTCCATCTGTGAGTCAAGATCTGAGAAACAAAAGTCAGGAGAGAGAGTATAATGATACCAGGTCCCATAGCATGTCTACACCCTGAAAATAATAACAAAAGCTGTGAAAAATATAATTTCAAACAAGGTGATAAGCAATGGCACAATTCCAGTTTGTTCTCGTATTTTGCATTTGATTGGGTTTTGATGTTTGACTTCTGTCTTTGGGACAATTTCCCAGGAGATAAATTACCATCTTGACATTAACCCCACAAATTGTCCTGTTCGTGGAGCCAATTAGGCATTTGCAGCTGATGTCTACATGTTAATCGTTGGGCCAGCCCTGTCTGGTGACATTTGACAAGCATTTGAAGTATTCAGTATTCATTCGGCCAACAGTCTGGGGTGTTTTTAAGGACAGCCTGCTAATTTGCATTTACCTGAGACTTTAAATCAATAGTTCATACATTTTAGATCAACAGAAGAGGCTGTTTTCCACTGTTGAGGTTAAATACATATACCTTTTGTGTGACTGGAATCAGTGAATGCATACTAATGTTTTTTCTTAGCTGAGCCAAGTAAGATATTGCTGTTAAAGTTAACTTAATGCTCTTTTGTTGTACATACGGCCTCATCCTGTTATAGAGAGGATGTTAGGGTATATAAGTTGAACCAACCATGTCTGGCTGCAGGGGAAAGAAAACCTTAGAGAAGAAATATACGAGGTGAGGTCATTTAAGATTTATTTTACTGAATCTATTCAATGGCACTCTTTCTTATGTTATATATGTGATCCCTTTACTAACATTTTAGAGATTTTAGATTATAAAACCTTAAGTGTAACATTGATTACTAACTGATATTTGTTGAACTTTTATTGGGATGAAAAGGGTCTGGTTAATATCCCTAACACTGCCATGAAATGGGATAACACAGTTCTGTGGTGTAAAGTGGGACGAGTAGAAATAACTTCTGAAACAACCATGTCTTTGTGGCTCTACATGTCATGTACACAGACTATAATATGAGTTAGGATCTATTTACTAGCTGGTGGGAAATAAGTAGAGAACGAAGCATTGGTGACGTGCTTTTATCAGATAGATTTGGTCAGATGTATTTTGGAAGTTTACTTTTTCACTCTAACTACGCTGTGCTACCCAGATAAACAACTAAAAAGGTTGCGTGACTTTGATTATATAAGACAGGCGGCTGAGGTCATTCAAGCTGTCTAATGGGGAAGTAATCGCAATTTCTCATTGAATTAGGATGGAAAATGGGATGCTTAATCAGGCATTTGAATGTGTTAGAACCTACATGGATAGCATGAATCCTATAGCTTTATTGTGTGCTTGTTTGTTTGTTTCAGCTTATCAGTCTATTTGGTCTCCGTTTAGATAGAAAAATGTTCAATCTAACTTCAAAGGATAGAGTGGAACGAGATGTCGAGGCAAATTATCAATACAGAATAAAATGACAGGAAAATAAAAAAAAGAGCTCTTGATGAGCTTGTAAAGGATTTGTTTTCTGCACGTGTTCCAGCTCAACAGAACAAAATGAGCTGTTCTAGTGTCCTTACAGAATTCATTATGTATATCATTCTGAACAAATGTCACATTATAGCTGTGATTACCTCCAAATGGGGATGTTCACTGGTCTGACTCTTGGTTTAAAGACCTGTTTAAATGTCTTTCCTGTGTTCACATCATAAACATGACACAAACATGATTTATGATGGGAACATTTTTGTCTTAATGGGCTGTTGCACAGAGATGGTTATCATACTTGAGTTGTGCATTTTTAGCTTGACTTTTAAAATGACACCTGTAGATACTGCATTAGTCCTCAGAGAAAATTATTAATAGATCATTTACAGATATTTTATTTTGTTTATCAAAGTGTGGAAGTACTGTTGTGCATTAGATTAAAAAAAAACAAGGCACACTTTAAGAGAATTAAAGCAATGGTCAGAATTAGCACCAAACATGTCATATGTATAGATCATAACACTTACCGGTCAATGCACAGAACAGTAACAATTCCCACGGTGGTGAACTGGTTGCTGACATCCACCACCACCACTGCTTTGCACATAAAGTTTCCAAACACCCACTGTCTGTCTCTGACCAGCTGGTGGATGTTGAAGGGCATCACCAGCAGGAACAGCATGTCTGCTATGGCCAAGTTCAACACGTAGATGTCCGAAACCATTTTCTTCTTGCATGCTTTCACCGCGTAGATGACCAGCGCGTTGGCTATCACTCCAACAGAACACAGGATGCCATAAATTGTGGGGAAAATGTGCATGAAAGTGGTGATGTCGATGTGGCTGTAAGGTGGACGACTCGGGCTCAGACATGACGGGTCAGTGGAGTTGTCTGTTTGGTTGTTTTTGCAGAAGATGGCCGTATCATTCATCTTCGGATCCTCTGAGTAATCTCTTTGGTGTGGTTATAATAAGTCGGCTACAGGTCTCCAAACTTCAAGCTCCAAGCTCTCCAAGAGCGCGAATACTCTCCTCTTTCCGGACGTGTATTGCTCGTAAAATATTTGATTTAAAACAGGAAAACGTAGAATCGAATCAAGTCGGAGTCTTTGAACAGTCTGCTCTCTGCAACATGTTTATCTCTGGAAGCAAAACATGATATGGCCATTTATTGTGCGCACAGCGCTGTGCGCTTTACCAAAGGCAGAGAACGCCTCAGGGGACACTAGTTCCCTCCCTTCAAAGATTATTCGCTGTGACATGTAGGAAGATAAATCTAAAGACATGTCAAACGGAAACTCGTTTTCATACATTCTGTATGCTTTACTTCTGGACGAAATAGGCAATGAACATTTGCATATATTAATCTCAACTACACGTTTATCCTAAAAGAAATTAGATGTGTTAACCTAAAAATAAAGGCAGCAGCTTTTTTTGTAAAATGTTTAGATAGTTAATTTAAGTAATTCTAAAGTTGAAGATAAAATTACATATTGAAAGTTTCTTTGGAATGGTTAGAGCTCTGGGAGTAACTAAGAAATCTCAGGGACTCTTACAACTCATCATGCCTGTACAAATAAGCCACATGGTTCAATTAAGTGATTTTAGTTCCTGATTGTGTTACATTAAAAAAAAAAAAAAAAAAAATCCAGCAATCTTTAAACACCCCTCTTTATGTGCTCTGATTTGTTTCAGCTGTCAGGATTTGAATTGATTTGGGTTATCTCAGGCAATTAAGTATTTTAATTGATATCTTGCCCTCAAGGCTGCTTCGGAAAAACCACATCAAAGTTGTGATTTTATGCAGTGCTTTATTCTGACGTCATGAGAATCATCTTTTAAGGGAAGCAGCTGATTCATGGTTTGATGCTCCTCAGCAGACAGATCTCTGCTGGATCTGACCACCAGTCAGCAGGAATACATGTGAACGCTCCTCCTGCTGGCTTCAATGTTTGTTCATCTCCTGATGCTTCCTTTCTATTCCAACTAGTCCTCAAAGTAGACTATTTTTGTAATTATTTTCACTCAAGCTTTCATTGTGGGAGTTTTGTACTGGTCTGGAACACGTAAAAAAGGTGAGCTTCAATTGGCTCTTCAAACTTACCTCTGTCCTCTACTGACTGAAAAATCCACTCTGAAAACAGAAACTTTGTATTTATGTTTTCCGTCATCAAATGTGCAAGGCTGAAACGGTTTGTTACTAAATGGACTCCGGAACACAAGAGAAATAAAGGGCTTTGATTTGATGACCTGCTGACATCCCACATGATAGAAGAAATCTGCTTTGCTTTAGTGGTCATGAGCAAAAACCTTGAAATCCAATTCTAATTAATTTTTCTATTCATCATCAATTATGACAAGATTGGACAATTGGATTGGCAACCTACTTTTGAAAGCAAACAAAGACATTCAAACACTTCTTGTAACACCACTAGCTAGTCAGGGTTTCAGATATTCTCCAAAGTAAGATGGACTAATGTAACAATTTTGAACAAACTGTTTTAACCTCAGTTCAATTCATGGTTTGGGTTAGTAAGAGATACTTGCAAACTCGTCTTTAGCAACTTTGGTTTCAGTGACCAGAAATTCAAGGAGAGCCTGTATGATGTTAACCTATATTAGTGGGCATATGTCTTATGACAACTGGGGGGGTTAATACACAACATTGGTTTAATCTTTAACATTTTGATAATAGATACATTGAAACATTTTCAAAATTAATATGTTCAGGCCTGCAGACATCTATTGTACATATACATGGCCAATAAAAGTAAAATAAACTAGGGTAAATCTCGTCCTAATCCTTTTCTAACGTGTATTGTTTTCTTTGTGTTGAATATGGCAGCGGATGCTTTTCTTGTTCAGTAATTTAACTACTTTGATTTTACAATGTATTGTATGCTAAATAAATAGCAGTCAATTAATAGTCAATGCACCAACTTGTTAGAATTTGCCATAAACCCTGTTGGTTGATTGATTGATTGGTTGGTTGGTTGGTTGTGTTGGATGGTACCCTATGCCTGTTATACATCACCATGTGCAAAATGCATTAGGACTCTGTAGGGACTCAGATTTGGAACTAGAGGGTTGCTCGTTGTCCCGGGATGGACCAAGTGTGAATTTTAGTTGGATAGGTGCAAATCTTACTCCCTGAGTGGTGCTGTAGTGCCTTCAAGCAAGGCACTGAACTCTGAACTGTTTGGGGCACCTGTGCAGCCCGCTAAATCTGACATCTCTCTGAAATGCATGTCTATACGTCCTGTTTGGGCATTCGGCCAAAAGTGTGTGAATTTCCATTTCCTAAGTGTTTCAAATAAAAAAGTAATTGATTGCTGGTAGCTTTAATTTCTGTAAATATTTATTTATTTATTAGCACACATGAAAGAATACATCAAAATAGGATTAACAAAAACATAAAGGTGTGTCAGGAGATTTCCCTTTGTCACCTGCTGTTTAAAGCTGGGTTCATCATCAAATATTGTGAGCCTGGTTTTGATGATGTGAAAACAACAACTAACTGATGAATAGATGAAGGCAACAGCAGAATACTTCTCCACAGCAGCCACGTTTGGAAGTCGTGACAAATGAATGCCCAGCATGTGGTGTGTTCATGAAGTCATTCACTGGAAGGGTTCATGCAGATTTTCTCAGTGAAGTGCAGAGAAGAACGTGATGGAATAATGATGCAAAACCCTAAAGGGACTCAGACTGTTGCCAAAGTAGTCAAATGTTAAACTCTATTGACAGCAGATTAAACTGTCTCTGATGCACAGTACTCAGACTGTCACACTCAGAATCATTATAAGCTTACAGCAACAGTCAGTTTGCTGGAAAATGTGGCATAATTCCAGTCAGATGACAAAGTCAAGACTTAACTCATAAACTCGTAAACTCAAAGAGAACATTTTCTTCACAATCTTAGACTCATTTCTAGTTTTCTTTTGTCCCCAATCTTCCTGCTAATGTGATAATTATAAAATCAGAAGTCTCATATTTGTATGTGAATAAATGATTCTTATTCAGAGAACAGTGCCTCAGACCTGTCAGTACTTTGATTATCTGTGTCTATTAGGGTGCTCGTACATCAGCTGTTAACAGCCACAGTACATGGTAAAAGCCGGTAAGTCAATAGCTTTAAATCCCATTGTCAGGTTGTTTGAAGCCCATTATCTACAAGACTAGGTTTATCTCTTTTTACAAGACAGCACTGTTGGTAAAAGCATTCGTATGTAGGAATGCAGATTCATAATGCCTTAATAACTAAGCTTCTAATGTCTACATCTGAGCAATGCATCTTTTATTTCCTGCAAAATCTGTCACTGTGAGTCCTTGTGCAAAATGGGGTGAGCAGGGTTCATACCTCCCATCTGCTCAGCAGCCGACAGTGGAGGACAGCGCCCGCCCCGGTCAGCTCCTCAGTGTGAAGGTGTCCACCTGTGCCAATGTGATGAGTATTAGCGGCTCAATAACACTCCCAAGCTTAATCAAGCAATGAAAAAACATGACACAAATAATGACAGCTTTCAAGGATTAGTTACTTCTTGACAAAAGAGGCCTTGGCCGCTAATTAAAAACACCTACAATATGTCAGTATTCATTAATGAGATAAAAGGCACACTGCTGTGGCCTGAGGCGGCTATAAGAGGTGGATCAAGTCCACAATACTATGGTATCAAAGGAGTAAAAACAGACAACAGGGGCAGACAAAAGCATCAAAACACAAAAACCTTTAAAATGAACAGCATGTGGGGAGGAAATATCAGTGTGTCATTTTTGTGACAATCGATGTCTACAGCCTTTTCTGTCTGACTGTGATAATAGAGCCTGAAGATAATTTCAACTGAACGATTGTGTGGGTTTTTTTTTGTTGTTGTCAAAAATCAAAGATCTGGCTCTTACATATGTGCGATCCTTGTGACAAACATGATTATTCTAAAGATAAAACTGCTTATTTACAACATGATGCCTTCGATACAAATAATAAAAATGGTACAGTTAATTCATATCTGATGTAAATCTGAAGCGCAATGTTTGTGTCAGTTTAGCTGACCTATAGCTGTATTACTTAATAAGCACCTTTCAGAGTCACTGTTGCTATAATACACTTTGGAGTTTTAAAGACATCATATATATCAGATGGCACTTAGATTTGGAAGATCCTTTTCTAAAGCTGAAAGAGTTTTTAAAGTGCATTACATGGTGAAGCTCTGCAGAGATGATACGATTTATAATTTGACAAATAATTTCACTTTTAAGGGCTCATTTTGATTGTAATAATAGCACTCTTGCTTTAAGTGTTTTTTCAGTTTCAGTGCAAAAAAAGATTTTTTTTTTTTTAATAAGGCAAAAGAAAAGATAACCTCTCTCATTATTCAGTTTGGCCGTTAGCGTAGCTCAGCATCAAGACTGCAGAGAGTTTTTCTGGCTCCTAACATCTTAGTTTTATAGGAGCACTGAGTAACAAGAAATATCACTTGATAGTTACAAGTGTTTTTTGACCACTGTTCACCAAATAGAAACATGTAAGCCAACATAAAAAACCAAACGTGTTACAGTATATCATGGATTTGATATGAATTAAACAAAATATATGATATTTATGAGATGGTGTAAGAGATGCTGGTATGAGGGATATTCAAATTCATATTCGGTTTTGAAGCTGACCAGTGGCTCTTTTCCTGAATGTCGTTCCCCACTCTCTCTCTCTCTCTCTCTCTCTCTCTCTCTCTCTCTCTCTCTCTCTCTCTCTCTCTCTCTCCATATTGAAAATGGTTATGAAAAATGTGCCTGTTTTTTCCTATCACACAGGAACACTAAATAATGTGTACATTTATATGAGTATTGAAGCAGAAACATGTAACTAGTTACTTTTAATGATTTCACTCGGTTAGTAACTCAGTTACTTTGTGATAGCAGTAACTAACTGTTACAAGTTACTTATTTTCAGTAACTTGCCCATCACTGAAACTGAGTCCT